TAATTACTTCTCATAAAATAAAAGAAAGTTCTTCTCTTTGACTGTAAACAAATGAACATGAATAGTCTTTCAGTGAGGAAAAGACAAAAGGGAAGTTGGGGTAAGATCAAAGGGATCTGTTGCTTTGGCAATAAAGTCAGGACAACAAGTTTGACTCGTGTCTCTTTACTGCTGTCAGTCCTTCTACCGAGTTCAGTGAATATTTGGTTTTTATGTCCTCGTGTAGGCTCCAGAATCCTGTGTTTTTATTTATTGTCTGGAGCTGATTTTATTGACTATTTATTTTTAAATTGAAAATTTGAAGTATGTTTGGAACCGGAAACGCTGTGCGGAGCCCTTACGTGATGTGTTTATCTTTGTCATTTGATCCTTTGATTTGATCCTGCCCGCTTCCGCTTATTCTATAACTGTACATTTACATAACATGTTTTATTTAGTAACACGCTTAAAAATTTTGAACCAAACTTTTACTTAATGCATTAATTGAACTAAAGCCTTTAGTCAATTCATGGCGGCGACTGTTCTCATTATGATCTTCATAATTGGGGATAAATTGTATTAAGCTGCCTAACCCAGAACTCTTGAACACTAGGTAAAGTGTCATAAATGATCAAACAAGAATAGGCATCAGGCTCAAAGCTAAAACTTTCACCAATTGATTGTCCTGTTGTGCAATGACCTTATACACCCTTGTGCAAATTAATTGAAACAATACAAATAATTCCGTTATTATTTACTTTTTTTGTATTTTGCAATGAAACATGGCCCAGTGCACATGTTTGTACTTCGTATGTCCATTCCACGAAGTCTTTCCTTGCAGATTGACCACAGATTCTCGACTGGATTTAAATCAGGAGAGTTTCCATGTCAGTCTATAGTAATTTGATTTGCTCACTGGTAAAGCTTGCCATTGTATCCATGCAGCGTTACAATTTTTCAACGCTTCCTTCGAGTAACGTCTATCGGAGATAATGACCGTAGGACAACTAATCGATAGTCGAAACAGTAGTATCTGGGTATGATAAAATTCTAATGCAATCACGAATGACGCAATATTGTTCAAGGCCAAATAAGTTTCATCATACAGCACAAAAATAGAATCATATTACTGCACACCACTGCTAATGACCTAATCTATGAAAAAAGTAGAAATCGATTACACCCTGTCACTCCAGTGGTTCTAAAACTGACCGTATGTTGAAAGAAAGGAAACTAAAGTGGCTGTTTCAATTAATTTACACAAGGATGTAGATATAAATATTGACAAATGATGACAAATAAACAGGAAAACAGGTTCAAGGCAAAAGAACTTATAATAAAGAATAATAGGGATAAAAATTAACCTTTAATTAATTTAATTTTAATCTTGATTTGTTTACATCAGATATCCCACCCCAAAATAAAATAATCTAATACGTTGTAATCGGTTTGATCAAAAAGAATCGGGACTATTGCTATAAACAAAAGCTACAATACATATCAATCCGGCATTTAATCTCCTACAAATTAGTCTCCTTCTGGGGAGACACAATTTATCCAGGTCCATTTTCCATTGATGAAAACATTCCTGGAACTCTTTTGGAAAAGAGGGAACGACTGCCTCGTCGCAATCTTTTGGATTTCCTCGGCGTTTTGAATTCTTGTTCCTTTCTAGAGTGACTGACATTTGAAGAGGCAAATCTTGCAAGGCTAGAGATATGGGAAATATGGCGGTTTTCGGACCTGGGAAATGCAACAATACTCGACAAGCTTTGATCACCGATGAAACCTCTTTGGCATGCTGAGATGACCACAATCAACACACTTTCCTTCCAAGCACATCTATAAATAAAGGTATAGAGTGAGAACGTTATAACTTAATGTAAAGAATTTGAAGCCAATTTGTACCAAGTGATTTACCTCTGCGTATTTTAGCTCTGTTCCCATAGCTACAATCTCGATACTTTTTGATTAGACCTCGTATAACTTTAACAAAATCACAATGTGTTTTATTCAAATACATGCAGTTAATACGTATCTATCTCTACATAATATGGATTTGCTATTCCCTTCTGTAATATCTGTATTGTTAACAATGTTATTTGTGATCCTCACCGAAACTTAGATGTTTCGGCCAAGTGCTGATAGCAATATTCCTACCTGCAGCGTCGTGACACAACACATCATCGTAGAGACAATACCATCAATAATTGTTTTTATTTGAACTTTTCTTTTTCCTTTACCAGTATTACTGCTAGCTTTCTTTGGAGCCATGACTGAGGACTAATGAAGAGAAAAAAGGCACAGTACAATAAAATTGGTAAAGAACAGTACAGCGTAACATACGAATATATACAACATGGCGGTCATGTAAGAAAGGACTGCGTTCGGGTTAACCCAGTTCGGCTCGGTTCGGCAATGTTCCTCGAAAACCGAAATTTTGTTCGATAACCGAGGCATTTTCATCTCGAGTTTTCTGTTCGAAAACCGATTTGTTCGACATGTGAGACGTTCGAGAACCGAGGTTGCTCTGTATAATAATTTATCAAGCGTTTTCGTTTTTTACAGGCTTTTACTCCAAAGATTCGTTTCGTGCTTTCATCTATAAATTCACTATTATTATTATTATTATTATTATTACTATTATTATTATTATTTTTATTTTTTACTATTGGTATGGACAACCCAGTCCGCTCAGAGAGATTCCGATTGACTGTGTCTCCAATTATTTAGATGTAACTTCCAAATTACATTAGCTGTTTGTCTTTTCAATCTTAAAGAAAAAATCAACCCTCGTCACCCAGCTCGCTAACTATATCCACTCAAGAACGGAGACACACAGCGTCTCAGCCCATGGGAGACATGCCCAACTAGTTACGGCCAGGCAACAGTATTGTAGAGATTTACCTGACCTGCCCCCACTGAGTCAGGTCATGACACAAGATCAGTTTTTAACGTGGGGACCCGAGTGTTTTCACTCGGGCCGCAGGTCCAAGCTGGTCATAGCTTGTCCAAGCTGGACAGAGCTGATCTAAGCTAGTCATAGCTGATAAAAACGGTGGATATCATTCCAGGTGGAGCGCAGTTAAAAATATCTTCAGTTTGGTTAACACTGTCTGCTCACACGCTTTCCATTTAGATTTGCTCCCAAGTAGCTTTAACTCCCCCACTCTTTAATATAAAATACATTTAACAGCCATATCCGGCTGATTGATTAGAAAAAAAGCGTTCATTTAGAATGGAGCAAAAACAGCATCATGTTTAGATGTGACAGACTCTATCTTTTTCAATTACTTTAAAGTACTTTCATTAAAAACATTTTGAATTAATGCAATTACTGATATAACAGAAGTAGTCTGTATTTATTCAATAAAAGTTATCCGAGGGCATGAAGGGGGTAAAAGAGGCAACATGAAGACCCACTTCAGACCACAATTCAATTTGTCAGTGTGCTACCAGGGACGTAAAAGAAGATATATTTATAAAGTAATTGTTAAGTTTGATGAAAACTGGCTGAAAGATGAACGAAAAATAAGAAAGAAACCAATAAAAATCACCATTTTTCGCTATTTACGCAGGTTTTCACTATATGGGTGAACTCACTTATGAAGTTAAATGACTGTTAAATAATCAACTTATTGTTGCCTACAATTGAGTAAAGTTTGTATTTGATTGAGGGAAAATTGAGGGAGTTTTTAGTTTAAAATTTGTGTTGAAATCGACTTTTCGTTTTGCCCGGTTTTTCGCTAGATGCAGTGGCGTAGAAATAAAAATTGAGGTATCGCTGAGCTCGTCATGATGTACGTAACCTACATACCGAGATTGAACGAAATCGGAGAAAAAAATGTTGAATCTATCGATATTTGATAGGCTTCATCGATTATTGACTTTTTAAATTATCGATGTTTATGCTAAGAACATATCTCTTACATTGTACAATGATATGTGCCAAGTTAGGTCAAAATCGGTTGAACACAGGAAAACAGCCAGACACACAGACATCTTCTGTTTTATATGTATATAGATCATCTAGCCATGAAGGTCCCCTATTTCTTCTGCTTAAGTACCACAGACATTATGGGACATACATTAGTTATAGAATTCAATCCTTTTTTTTTCAGGATTCAAAACAGACAAAATCGGCACAAATTAGATTTATTTGTTTACCGGAGGGATAATATCCATCTGATGGCGTATTGCAACAAAGGGAAATAAATCTTTCATAATTATAAAGCAAAAGAAAAAAGCAAGTTAATATTTATTCTGTGTTATTTCGATTTATTTTCTCAATGTGTAGAGTCGACTGAGTTGCCCCGAGAGACATTATCACGTTTTCGTAATGTTTACGAATCACAAAATAAACAAAGTCTCCTGTTTCTTTTTTTTCTTTTTTTTTTTTTTTGTGGTGAGATATCATTTTTTTCTCTTCCTTTTCCACGCGTTTTGCTCATGTTCTTTGCTCTAAAATCAGGTGCGTTTTATACATGAAAGTATTTTGTCAGATTTTTTTAACTGCGTCTTATACTCTCTCAATGTATCGGCGATTCAGTGATCTTATATCAGATAAGTAGCACGTTAATCGGTTTGACAATGTAGTAGTGAAATCAATGTATGTGTTTGAATTGTTATTTTCAAATAAAAAAAGCAAATAATATTTATTATTTATAACTTAATTATTCATTGTTGACAGCATTTACTTGTATTTATATGTTTATTCGTAGTTGGTTAATTTGCTTATTATTTACTTAATTTGTTTAATTATTTTTTCAGATTTTTGTTTAATTCATTATTTTTTCAGTTTAGTTTTGTGTACCAATGAACACTAATGGGTATGTCCCAATCCTCATCACTACGTTGACCACTATTGTAAGTGGAGGATAATATGCTAAGTCATCCACCACTAGCAGTGGTTTAGCTACTTCACGCCGCTGGCGAGTATTGTATTTTGTTGATATTATAAAGTTTACCATTTCATTTCCAACCACCGTTCTGGTTACTCCTCATTGAGTAACCCTTTCTAGGTTACAATACTCAGTTTGACTGTTCATATCTATCTGTCTATCTATCTATCTATCTATCTATCTATCTATCTATCTGTTCATATCAATCTATCTGTGTTATATATCGTACATTTGAACACTAATGGATATGTCCCAATCCCCATAAATACGTTGGACATTAATGTAAATTTGGGTAATATGCTGTCTAAGTAGTTCACTAATAGCAGTGGTTTACCTAGTTCACGCCGCTGGCGAGTATTGTATTTTGTTGATGTTATAAAGATTACCATTTTATTTCCAACCTCCGTTTTGATTATTCATCATTCAGTAACCCTTTCAAGGATACAACAGTTTGTTAATTTGTTTATTATTTACTTAATTTGTTTATATATTTACATAGATTTTTTATGATTTTGAGTCTAATTTTTTTAAGGAGAGATATTATCTATCTAATGGTGTATTGCACAAAGGGAAAGAAATCTTTCATAATAAAAACCAAAACAAACAAATACGTTAATATCTCTTTTATTCTTATTTATTTTCTCAATGCGTATTGGTAATTCAGTGGTCATTATCTAGTTTTCGTACTGCTTATGAATCACAAAATTAATGAAAATAACCTTTTTTCATTCTCTTCCTTTTTCACAGGTTTTACTCAGTTACTTTGCTCTAAAATCAGGTGCGTTTTATATATGAAAACAATTTATCTGCCTTTTTAACTGCGTCTTATACTTCTTACCGTTCTATACACAAAAAATTACGGCATTTTATTACTATTCTGATTAACAACAGCTTAAAAACTGTCCGTTATTATTATTATTATTATTATTATTCAAATCTATGAGGAGTGTTTTCATTTTTTTGTTTTACATATCTTTATTTGATTGCTTATTCAAGTACATGTAATAAGACTATGACTCGACTATATCATTATCATGTTACAATTCTGCTTGCCTCTCTCTTAACACGGCTATTAAGCTCTGTCGTTTTGATCGCGTGGAAAGACGCAAAAGACATACCAGAGACGCTACTTGGCTTCTGTGTAAAGAAGAACGAGAGAAAGAAGTGTTTAGTTTCTCCTACATATTCCTCATAAATAATGGGCTATTCCTTTTAATCGGTGGGGAAAGAAGGGAAAGGCATATCAAAGACGCCACCTGGTTTCAGTTAGAAAAAGAAAGAAAAGAAAAGAAAGAAAAGAAAGAAAGAAAGAAAGAAAAGAAAGAAAGAAAGAAAGAAAGAAAGGAATATAAAAGTGTTTAACGTCTGTTTTAATGAAATGGAATATTTTGTTAATTTCATTTTTTTTATTTGTACCCCTTTACTTCTTAAAATAACAACCAGCATTCATGTTTATGATTGTTATTGCAATATTTTGTTAAAGTTGTTAAATTCAGATATTTAAAGACGCGGCAGTGAATATTCTACGGATATTTTATTCTCGTACAACTCGCCATGACCATATTCAATCATTAACTTCGGAATTAAAATTCATAAGAAAATTAAAATAGGAAAACAGTGAAATTTTTGTGGAATATTTCTAGCTTTTATTATTGACCCAATAATTTCTGATGTTATAATTATAAAAAAAAATAAAAAAATAAAAACAGTAGCTACAATAACAGAACTAGTAACTTTCATATTGAAGGTTAGAATAATATTGACAAAAACAGCAACAATAATCCCAGTACTGCGTCAAAGTCCATGTCGCTTTCCTGCCATTAGTCTGACTCAGGTCTTGCTGGAATTCGTTGGCGCCATTTTGGCTAAAAGTGCGAAAAACAGTTCTAATGAAGACTGACATCAATCTGTGACCCGGATGCCTTTATGTGGCCGACCAGGACATTAACAGTTCAACTATGACAACTCATGACAAATGTCATTATTCAACAGTCACATTAATGGTGTTTTCAATTCGACTTATCTGTGGACTCGTTCTGTTTTCTTTCTTACTTTTAGTTTTATTTTATTTATGCTATAATTTTTGTTTGTTTACTTTCTTTTCGCTTAACTTTTTTTTTCTCGTCATTATGAATTATATATATATATATATATATATATATATATATATATTTAGCATCTGAGATTTTCTCTATTGGGTTCGTTCCTGTCTTGGTGTTATCGTCTGTTTTACCTTTTTTCTTTCTTTCCTTCGTTTCATTTTTATCGCTTCTGTTTTTATTCATTTCTTACCTTTACTTTTCGCTTCTTTTTTCTCTCATCAATTCTTTCTCTCGTTTATTTCTTTTTTGTAGCTTCCGTTTTTTTCATATTCTTTCTTTCTTTTTCTCTTCTCTTGTCTTTTTTTTTCATTTATTTCAATTTCATTTTCCATTGTTCCTTTTTTCATTTCGTTTTCTATTCGTTTCTTCCTTTCTTTCTTTCTTTCTTTCTTTCTTATCTTTCTTTCAATAGGGTTCTACGTCTTCTTTATTCATTTATTTTTTCTTTCTTTTTTTCGTTTCTTTCTTAATCTATTTCTTATTCCCTTCTATTTTTTTTTATTATTCTTCCTTCATTTATTTTCTTTCCAATTTATCTTTTTTTTTCCTAACCTATTTCCTTAATTTCGTTCTTGTTCTTATTCTTATCCTTCTCCATTGCATTTTTCTTTTCAATTTTTCTTTCCTTTCAGTTTCTCATTCTCTCAAAATTCCTTTTGCTTTCTCCCATTTCGCTTTTCCCTATTCTTTCTTCATTTGTTTTTTCTTTCAGTTTTTTTTCCTTTCTTTTATAATCTTACTTTTCTTTTATTCATTTCTTTCTTGTCGTTTTCTTTTTCTCTTTCTCGCCTATCATATTTTCTTTCTTTCTATCATCATTTTTCTTTTCTATCATCTGTCTTTCATTTCTTCTTCTTCTTCTTCTTCTTCTTCTTCTTCTTCTATGTGCTGTATACCTTCAGGACATTTGTGGCCATGGGTCTCCATAATTTCTAGTCCTTTGTCACTCATAATGTTTTGTCTTTTAGCTATCTCCTCTAACTCTCGCTTCGCCATACATTTACTCAAGCTCGTTACCTTCTGCCCTTCTTGCCTCCATTCTCCATGTGAGTATCACATTTTCCAAACCCCCTTTCCTCATTATGCACTATAAAAATCTCAATTATCACTTCCTAACTATAATTATAAGTGTCTTTTTGTTTCCATTTTTATAAAACTTAGTCGTTCAGTTTATGGTAGTTTCAGCACGATTCTATAGAACCACATTTTTCTTGCTTCTTTATTTGTGAGGAGATTGTCCAGCATTCACTGCCATATAGGAGGACTGATATCATCTAATAATTCAGTACTCTTTCCTTTGTTTCTTTTGCTTCAAATCTCGTCGTCATATGTGAGGAGATTTTCCAGAATTCACTGTCATATTGAAGAGCTGCAGTCACGCAACTGTTCAGTACTCTTCATTTTTTATAATGAAAATTTCCTGTTTCTTAATATTTTGCTTAGCTTTTGGAAGGCATCTTTCGCTATCCCAAAGCGCCTTCGGATTTCAGTGTCGCACTTTATGGCCTCTATTAAAAACTCTTCCCATATATTTAATTTTTTTGTACTTGTTTGATTTCGATATCTTCAATTTTTTTATTGATATATTAGTTTTTTTTTTTCTTTTGTTAACAAACATGCATTCCGTCTTTTTGCAATTGATGCTTAGTACTTTCTTCTCGCTTTCCTTCACTAAATTTTGTAGGGGTTCTTTTTACTTTCCTTTATTTCTCAACTATCAACATTGTGTTATCTTCATATGTTATGTTGTTAAGATTTTGACCGCTCGTAATTAATCCCGGTGGGACTTCTAATTCCCTCAGGGTCGCCCCACGGTATAGGTTTAATAAGTCCGATGAGAAGACGCATCCTTACCGAAATTCCGCTTTTAATTTTTTTATTTCTTTTCTTTCTTTTTTTTTTCTTTTCCTTTCTCTTATTCTTCCTGTCATATTTTCTTTCTTTAATTGTGTTTTCTTTATTCTTTCTTTATTCCTATGTCTATTTCTTCACTTATGTTTTCTTTTCTGCATTCTGTTACATTTTCTTCTCTTTCTCTTTCTTTTTCCCCCCTTTTCGTTTTATTCGTCTTTATTTTTCTTTATTCGTTTTTTTTATCCTTTATCTTTCCCCCTACATTATTTTCGTTCCGTCTTTTCTTTCTTTTTTTCATTTATATATTTCTTTTAAGTTTTTCGCTTTTTTCATTAGTTTTTTCTTCCTTTCCTCTTTTTATTCTTTCTTTCTTTATTTCTCTCGTTCCTTTTTCTTTTCATCTTTCTTTCCTTTCATTTATCTTACGCTTGGTTTTTCTTCTTCATTTCTAATTTGCCTTGTCTTTTCTTTTTTTCTTTTTCATATTGTTTATTTTTTCTTTAACCCTTTCTTTAATACTTCTTCGTTTCTTTCTTTTTTGCTTCATCCGTTTTCTTCCTTTCCTTTGTCTCTGTCTACCGTACATATTTCTCCTTCATTATGTTTTAATTTTTTTTTCTTTATTTCCTTCATTTGCTTTAATTACTTATTGATTTATTTTTGCTTTTCTCTCTCTTTCAATTTCCTTTTTCTTAGATTTGTCGACTATTTCTTTTTCGTTCTCTTTCTTTGTCACTCTTTCTCCACCCCTTTACATTATTCCTTACTTCATTCCTTTTTTCATTTCTTTTCTTTCTTTTTCTTTTTATTTAGTTTATTCTTTTTCATTCATTCTCTTTCTCCTTTTATCTTTTTTCTTAGTTTTATTCATTATTTTTTTCATATCACTGTTCTTTCATTTTATTAATTTTGTTAAGTATTTCACTTCAAGAAAGGCAATAAAGCCCCTAAGATGCAATGGATTACTGAGTGTGAGTGTATATGAGAAAAAAAAAGATTATTAAGGGAAGAGAACACTAACAGAATAGGAATTGGCATTGAATTTAAATTTTTCACGATCAAAGTTGACTGGAAATCAAGAAGTAGAAAAAGAGTTCTACATAATTCATAAAATCTAAGTTCCAAAGGGCAAAGTTCATCAGAACAATTTCCATAAAACATTTATTGAAAAGGCAGAAAGAAGCTACTTCAGATCAGTGGGAAAGTGACTGAAGCTGAGATACTATCTCAGGACCAATAACATTTCATAATCTTCTTTGGATTTTCTCAAGAAACTCTAAATACATGGCAAAAACACCAGACCAAATGTAACAGCGATATTCAATGCATAGACGAATAGTGGACCTATGAAAGTGTCAGATAGATTCTAGCGAGTCACACTGTCTGTCATACCTGAACGTACCTATTCTATTATTAATAGACTCTCCCACACATAATAAGTAGTAATAGTAGTAGCGGTCGCCAGTTGAGCTCAGTGGAGTTGAGTGAGTCAGTCGATGTCGGACATTGAAGTATCAACCATCACAACTATATTGCTGTGTCATTAACTCTTATTTCAAGTTCCTAACGTTTTGTACGTCGGACCCTTTTTAGGACTGACTTAGCGAAATACAAGCCTCCACTGTGAAAACTACTCTACAACACTGTCTAGCACGACACAGTAAACCAACTTTCCTAGTAACATGGCTATCAATTGATTCAATATAATTCTTCCACTTCATGTCAACGGTAAATGTTAGCCTGGGAAGACGCAGTGAGTTACTCTCCTCTCTGTTAGCATTGGCTCTTCTGATGGAAAGCAAAAGGGGTTCTCTCGGACAATTAAAAGAGACTAGTCTCGTTTAGGAGGCGGTAAAATTAACAAGTCATTTCTTCCCCCAGTTAACAACAGATTGTAGGTCATTGTTTAGATCAGCTGCCCATTTGACCACATTGATCTGATCAAGATTTATTATCAAGACAGGACTAAATATTTGTGCTATCAGCATAGATACAATAGTGCTGGGTATGACAATAAACTTCATCCGGCAGAAATCCCTTTGATCGGGAGTTTGGAGGATTTTAGGAGCGCAGACCCACTTTCAATCGGTGTAGATCCCAGGTATACAATGACCCGGGGTGGTAGCAACTATTACGGTCTCAGGTAAGAGCAAAAAAAAGACATATTTATATGAATTATATATTATAACTGAATGAATGGTGTAACGAGCACCAGTTCATGACTGTTGAACTCTCTGCTTTGGCAGAGAGGAACCCGGACGAGGCTTTGCCGAAGGGCAAGGTTTCGTCCGGGGAGGTAGACAGGCCCTGAACCCGTCTAGGCGGATTCAAAGGGTATATTTTTGACCGAGCCTACGGGCTCGGGAAACCCACGTTAAACTCGGCCTTGTGCCACATGCAACCCTCGTGGGGGGTGGCTAGATACCATATTTATAGTAAAATGACCATATATATATTTTATCTGTAATTGAAAGTATACATTGGAGTTCAAAATATATTCCGTTGAAGCCCTAAAAATGTGTAAAAAATATTTAGAATTATAGCATTAAGTAACCCATAGAAGTTGATATGCCGTTAATCAAAATCAAAGCATAGATACAGTTAAAAACTGATAACATCACGAAGGTTGTTAATGAAACTTAATTACATTGTAGGTCCAGTGATAGAGCTCTTGAGATGGGGTATCCGCATGAATGGAAAGACATTTAGAAGTGTAGTCGTTAAATACGGTTTCATTTCGCGATTTTGGTAAGAAAGATTAAATCAATTCAAGAATTTAACCGGAAGTAACATAAACTTTCTCATATTTCAATTTCTTCATCTTTTTTCTGTTCCAATTTATTTCATTCCATTTAATCGTCTAAAAATATCTTCTCAGCTTTAAATAATCCACGGGATTGTAAGCAGCAAAAACAGAAAAAGGAAAAAAATATCAAATCGTTAAAGTAAATTCTTTCTTTATTCTATTTTTTTTTCGATGCATTCTTTCATTTTTTTCTCTTTCCTTCTCTACTTCTTTCTGTTCTTTTTTGATTCATTCATTATTTTATTTCTTTCCACCTTTTCTCCAACTACATTACATTTACTTTCTTCCTTCTATATATTTTTATTTTAACCTATCTACATCACTTCGTTCATTCTTTTATATTAGTATCGGTTACACAATACAAAACATATGAAACACTAAAAGTGGACTGTTACCGTTGAGTAGATCAGAAACTCTCAGTATAAAGACGATACATCTAAAAGGATATTACCGCATGCAACCCGAAACATCGGTGACAAAATGAACAATATAAAAAAAGAACTATCGAATCAGTGAGTTAGTTGTCCATTTTCTTTCAAGTCTCGTTTCAGGTGAAATTTGAGATTTTCTGACCGGTGGAGAAGGTTTAAAACTGAATCCTTTAGATTAGACCTACAAAGAACTTTCTGCAACAGAAATAATTTTTGTTAAGTTCTTTTCACTTATTTTTCCTTTATTCTTTTTGATTTAATCGAACTTTTGATTTTTTTTTTTTCCAGTCTTTTTATCTGTTTCCCCCTCGGCTTTGCCCGCCATTTTTTTCTGGTATGACTTACATCTGTTTTTGTTTTATTCCATTTTTTTTTTAATTTATAGTATAAGTTTAATGTTTACTTATTATCCCTTTTATTTGAAGAACTTTTTTGAACCGAAACCATTTTTGTTAATTATTTTGATTTTTTTTCTTGTCAGGCATTTTTTTCAGTTTTCTATCTTCATCTTTCGACCGACATTTATTTTTAATTTATTTTATTACCCTGGGTTAAATACTAGTTTCCTCACAAGATTGTTTTTGTTTATTTTTATTAAAGTTTATTGTTTTTAGTTTAAACTTTTTCATTCTTTTTCTCCTCGTTTGGGCGAATTTTATTTTATTTTATTTTCAATTTATTTACGTTTTCGTCTTTCCGCAAAGCTTTATTTGACATCGTCTTATTTATTTTTGGTAAATTTTCGTGTATTTCTTTTTTATTGTTTCACCAAACCTTCATTGTAAATTAGCGTAATTTATTTGTTTTCTTATCTTTTTTCAAAGTAGATCGAACATTTTTGTTTCCCTGTTTTTAATAGGTTTTTCTTTATTCTAATATATACTTTTATTTTGTACTGTTAATTTTGTTTTCAGTTTTATTTTTGATTTAATTTATTTTATATTTTAACATCTTTTGTAGAAGAAATTCCTTTTGAAATTTGAGTTCTATTTTCTGATGGTTTTTCGAAATCCACTTAAAGTATCCTTTTTTTGTCACAAGAAAAACATTTCTCGCTTTGCATTCTTTTCATCGAATGAGTTTAAGTTTTCAATTACGCCAACAAATATTAGTCGGTTAGGAAAGACATTTTCTTCCGATAAAGAGAGCTGATTAGCCTCACGGATTGTGACAACCCCTAAAATCTAAAGTAATGTAGACAAGACGCAAAAATCTATACAAATAATGCTAAAGAGAATATGCCAAAATGAACAGAACCAGTTTAAAATACGACAGCTCGGGAATCGCCTACTTGCTGGACGTACCCACCACGTTGCGGAATTTTTGGCAAGGACCAAAAGTTACGAACATCTTATTAAATAAGATGGACTTTTGGAATCCCCCTCTCACTTTCTCTCTCTCTCTCTCTCTCTCTCTCTCTCTCTCTCTCTCTCACACACACACACACACACACACACACAAATTACAGACGTTCAAAATGGTAGTGGACAAGCGTACGTGCAAAATGTTTTGCTCCATGAAAGACTCGGTGAACCGAAAGATTTATAAAACGTAACGGATTTTGCATGTGGGGCGTATAGCTAAAGTTTGTTTAAAGTTGGCGAGCCAAGAGTTGATTACGAAAGATCCTAATCATGATAACAGAATATGAGCATCGGCACAGTCTTAGTAGTATACGAGGTCCCATCTCTAGTGATAGGAGAGCACATACCTGCCTACTTTCGTCAGTATGATCTAATCCTAGGTGCTACCTCTGACAACCTGAACAGAGGATACAGCTTCGATATTATACTTGATCGTTTGGCCTTGGTCTCGGTCACCAACTGTTTGGAGTCATGCGTCCGAAAAATGCCGGTCATCGGACCGGTAGAAAACCAACTTGTTGGAAGTGTGGTGAGACTGGTCATCTCTCCTCTTTCTCTCCAAAGAAAGTTCCTGGACTTCCAACCACAGGCGACCCAAATTCCTCTCTGGCCGATACTGATAGTTCCTTGGTGCCTGTAATGGGCCTAGCAGCGACTCGTGCGGAAAAATCCGGGTTGGTTTCGGTACTACATCCCACCTCACAAAAAAAAAAACCGACGCGATGCACAACGCGAGAAAGTAAAATGAAGAAGGGGAATGGCGTGTCGCTGGTAGGGACAGAGGGAAGAACCAAACAGCGGGGTCTGAGTCTCCTGAAGTCCCCAAGGCAAAAGTCACCTACAATCCCCATACCCTCTACCAACTCTAAGGGCGACGCCCAGTCGTCGTATGCTACTACCGCAACGGAAATACAGAAGAAATGTGAGCCGAGCGAGGACAAAATTTTCAAATTGAGACAACTCAAAAAAGAACTGAATGCAAAGTGGGAAAAGAAGTCCAAGCCAGTGGGGGTGCTGGGTACCTCATCCTCTGCCCCTTCTTCCTCATCATCAAAAAGATCATGGCCCTACCCAGTGACAAGATCATTGACATCTACCAAGTCAAAAATGACGAGTTTAAAGAAAACCACACTCTTTCCCCAGCCCTTTCTACACAAACCACACCAGTTCCCACTTCCAATATCACACCTTCACAGTTACCGCATAAACATCGTGTCACATCAAAAACGTAACGAAGCCCCGAAAAAATTTCCAAACCAGAAAAAAGAAAAAAAAAACCTCACGGACTCAGGAAGACGTCTGTTGCGTATCTGACAATCAAGTAGAAAAATCAATGGCACACTGCAAAAAGATCGGAGACCTTAAATTTTTACTCAATATGAAAAATGTGCACGGAATGAACATAGAAAATCTTCCAAATTTCCCCAAAGCAAAGAGGCTTTTAACCGTGGTTTGATCAGACTCGTATGCCTATCCGATATAGGACATGATCGAGGAGGTTAACGATGCTATCTCAACGACCCCTCACTAACCTATTTTGACAACAAAAATGTAAAGAGATTACAACAGTATTATGCTGGGAGACAACCGCTTTTTGTTCACCCCTCTGTATAAAGCTCTTAAACTGACGTTTCCTTTGGACATTGGTGAGATGTCTCCTAATAGAATCGTAAAGAGTGAAATGAATCTAGGCTCGTCGGTGTCCTCACCCCAGCCATGTTCAATGCAGAAGAACAATGCTAATTGTTCTGATAATATATCTCTGATTGGCTAGCGTTAATGCCCGGCGCCTGAGATTGGAGTCACACAGGACGAGGCTCACTTACAATCTTCAGCGTCCCGGGTTGAATGTATGTTGTGTACAGGCGATCCGGTTTCCAGCCCGCAACCCTGAATACATTCTAAGGGATTTCACCTCATTTCAGCATGTTTTGATGGACGCTTAGGTGATTACTGACTGGTGAGGTAGTATTTGTTGTTCACCATGACGGTCGTCTTCGAGTATAGAATAGATCGTATAGGGCAAAAAAAATGCGTATTAACAACCCGGATGTTAAAACATTTCGGAACTTTATCCACAGGTTCTATCTTGTCGATTAGTATCGTAACGAGCACCCCTGCCCTAGACGCTGAAGATTGCAAGTGAGCCTCATCCTGCGAGGCCCCGACAAAGGACCCTAGACATTTACTCCTTCAGAAGGCTGGAATAATAGATCTCCCGAACTACCGTGTAGGCCTTGCCTCCCAACAATAGTTTAGTACAATAAATCTTCATTAATCTTTTTTGGAAAAATTAAAAGTTTTATTAATTAACATACAAAATACTCCCGCTATTACAAAAACAATTTAATGACCAAAATACTTATTTGATAAAAATGCATATCGCTTCTTTAAGTTTTTATATACAAGAATCCAATTTCCAGTTCACCTTGTGTTTGCGAGAACAATAAGCAGATCACAAGGCCAAACGCTTCAAAATTTGGAATTTGGCTCCAAAAAAGAAATAAGTATGCATGTTCGGTTTTATGTTGCATACACAAGAGTCAAAAACGCTAAGAATTTATTCTTCGCTGTTAAAAAGGAAATAAAAAGAAATTTTCTGAAAAATTATTGCTTATCAGTCCTATAAAATTAAATTAAATTATTGCTTATCAGTCCTATAAAATTAAATTAAATTATTGCTCATCAGTCCTATAAAATTAAATTAAATTAAAGAAGTGTTAAAACGCAAAGTAGGGTTTTTGTCAAAGTATTTTTCCCAACAAATCAGCTTATTCAAATTTCATCGATTGGTTTGCGAAATTGAACGAATCGTAGAGTTTGTTAATCTCGACAAAAATGTTAGCAATAAATTGAATAATACTAATTACTGTGAAAATCCTAGAGGAATTAAAAGGAAGTTTCATTTAGAGGCGTTCTTCCCAAGAAGCAGTACATTTTTGAAACAGAGCTCCGATAGTATACATAACCGAACACAAAAATCTTCGTATCTTCATATCCAGACACGATCGTTTTTGTCTCCTATCATCCTAACGATATGATATCCTAACGATATGATATCATACTATCCTAATCATATACTACCATAATATCCTAATCATATAATATCATAATATCCTAATCTTACGATATTATAATATCCTAATCATATAATATCATAATATCCTAATCATATGATATTATAATATCCTAATCATACGATATAATATCCTAAACATAGGATATAATAATATATTAAGCATATCATAATATACTAATCATATCTTAATATCCTAATCATATCCTATCATAATCATAACTAGTTCTCATAATTTTCCGTCACAACTTCCTCCTTTTCACTTCTGTATCACTCACCTCATTCGATAAACCTCTACCTTGAATGGCTCTTGAGTTTGTACTGAGTGAACATTAATAATTTTTTAATGAGTAAATCATACTTATCCCAAAAAAACTGTTAGCAATATATTCGTTAACAAAAAAAGTATATAGCTACAATCCAAATTATGATACGTTTTTAAATAGCGCTCAATGTGTGATAAGCCGTAAAAAAACACAAGAAAACAGATAAATCAATCAAT